TATTTCTATTTACCTGACTAATTAATTAGCACCTAAAAATTTAAGGTGCTGTATATAGTATTATATTCTAAATACATATATTATATTATGAAAATGTGTTTAAAAAGTTTATTCTTATTAATACAACTAAAGGTAATCCTCTAGAGTTGGGATAGTTAACTTAATAAAATATTAAATATACCACGACCAACGTTTAAGAATTTGTATGGCTTTCTTAAAAAAGAGGCTGATAATTTAGAACTTTTATATGCAAGAAGCTACTTAAATATGAAAGGTTAAGGGAGAAAAAATATGTACATACAATTAGACGAGAGAATTAAAAAACATTAATGGAGTATGAAATAGATAATGATTTAGTCAAATGCTTAAAAAAATAGCTGCTATTATTCAAAAATTAGAATAAGGTTATGTTTATGTACATATATGTTTGTTAGTAATATACTTTAGTATTAGTATTATATGTTTATATGTAATGTGATCGACAAATGTATTATTATTATATGAGTTATTTATAATAATAATAAGTTTTTAAACACACCAGTAAAAAATACTGTCAGTCCTTAGCCTTGAAAAGTGAGAAGGGAAGTTTAAATATAATAAAATAGTAAATATATACCTATTAGCACAAATTAAGTTTATAGTAAATTTATATATATTATATATAGCACCCAAGTTTTATAGTCACGTAAATAGAAATAAATTGACCGCAAATGGCACGAAAAAGGTGCCGACCACAAAATCCTGACCGCATCGGTGCCGACACCTTTATAATTTAACATAGGATTAAACTCTTAAACTCTTGATAAAATGGAACCTGTCTAACGTAAAACGGAAAGCTATTTATTGGTCCTGCAAATCACATACACCTCATATACACGGAAAAACACATAAAATGAACAAAAATATTTTTGATACCCACATTTATTTTGCTAACGAACAATAATTAAGGTCAGCGATTAATACGTATCAACGGATAAGTACATTTTATCATGAATCTACACACAGGCGCGGATCTAGAACATATTTAAGTTGTGGGGGGGGGGGGCATCTTAAATAAAATTAAAAACGGATACGGTCGAAACGCTATTAGCGAAACAATGCATTTTATCGGCTGCTGAAAATAGATATAATAGACAATTCACCAGAGTCTACGGAGAGGAGAGCATTAAAATCTTTCTTATGTATTACCTGATTTAATTATAAACACACCGACTTTAACCAAAAAAAAAAAAATGTTTTGGTAAAGTAATGCTGCTGCTTGCATAATATATGCAATATGCATATCAAACAATGACACATTTGATGCTGCTGCGTACCATATCAAATAAAAATTAACTTACATGAAATTATAAACGGCATCATCAAAAGAAATTTAATTTGTGAGACAATATTACCCACAAATTAAAAACAAAATATTAAATAATTAAGTTTAAAACAGTGCTATGATAATCATACAGACTTTTTTTTTAACCTTTTTAATACTAATTAAGTACATAACATTCTGTTGTTACATATACTAGTAGGATGAATATATTAATAATATTATAATTTAGTAGTACCTACTACCTAATCACTTATAACACAAATAAATAATTTTCGATATGAATAAAAATTGGCTTTTCTTTACTATAGAAATTAACACACTTTGTAGTACTTACTACGGCAAAGTAAAATATCGGAAAAATATGTTATGCATGGATGTCATGCATTTTTTTGTAGAAATCCATTTTTTGAATTTGAATTTTATTAATTAATTTAATTTTTATAATAATTCTGCTTGTAAATTAATCATAGCTCTGTATTACCCTAATACTTCTTCATCAAATCTATTAAAAATAATTCTTATTTGATGGCGTAACTATTAAAAGTTGTCATGGATAAATATTTAAATTTACTTTATGAAGTTGAAATTTTTAAACAGATTACTGTTGAAAAAAACCACACTAAAAATAAATTTCAGTTTTCTGCAGAGGTATTATTATATTATATTAAGGTTAATGGGACTTATGATACATACTGTATATTCAATTATATGAGACTGATCAAATGATAGGAAGTTTATAAGAAAATTATCTGAATCAAACAAAAAATGACTAAATAAATATATATAAATATAATAATGAATTTTGCTAACCGGATATTGAGTTATTTTGCGTTTGTTTGTTGCTTTTAATTAGTAATTTATGGTTTAAATATATTTTTAAAATTTCGGAAATCAAGTCATGTATCTTTTCATAACAATTTAGTTTGAATAATGATTTAAAAGTTTTTACATAAGACGAGTCTGGTATATAAAATATAGAGAATACATATATAAATTGTAATAATTTAAATAGATACATACTTAACAATCACTGTGAAAATACTAATTTGAACAAAATAAATTTTTTTTAGTTTTATGTGTAAATGTGTTATGAACTTAAGTTTCATTAATAATTAAATAATAATATTCAAATGATTGAAGTAATTCAGTTGAATACAAAATTTAGCTGGGAAAATTGTTTGTCTACTGTTGGCGTACCTATGACATTTGCTGTTAATGTATAACGCTGCTATTTTATTCTACCACTCCCTGACTTTTTAGACATATCACACTGTTACCAAAAACCAGTTATTAGTCTTCGGCATTTTTCGTTGCATTCTCAGCAATGCAACGAAATTTTTGAGCATTGCTGAGGACTAATATTAATATTTTTAGTTTTCATTTTTTTTTTAAAATCACATCTCAGCAATAACACGTAAACCATTTTAAATGAATACGGGTCTGTTTTGGAAAGACGTTTTCAAAAGAAAATTCTAAATTTTGCAAGACATAAATTAAAAAATCGACTTCCTTCCTCTTACTTTAGTTCTAGTGCAATAAGCACCCAGCACCCTGTCTACTTATTTGTTTGTACTAAAACTTCAGCTTACAGTTAACAAAGTCACAACTGTCACATACATATTTCGAGTTTTTGATTGAATACTATACGATTATTGAATTGCCGTGACGATATAAATATGTTGACAGTATATAAGTATATAGCACATAATATAATATATATATACAATACAATCATCTCTGTAACTGCATTTTTTTTTGCCATTTTTGTTTTTTCATAAAACTTACCACAATTATGTATACACGCATTGTGCATCTTTGGTCGCCTGCTGAACGGCGACGAATATCAAATTAACCACGAACCCGAGTCAGCGGGAAGTTCGCGCCTGGCGCCAATAACGAGTATTGCAGCAATACTAAATAGTAAGCATTCATCGTCGCCGACTATATGACAATAACTCGATTAAGTATTATCGCCGGTATAAAACCAACGGGACCGTTGTCATTTTCATCAGTGTATCGTCCCGCAACCGTCCAAAAGGTTTACGATAAGGAAAAAAGAAGTTTCGACTACAGAGTAAAAGTGAGTTGTTGTAATTACTGCAAGTGCTGCACGGGTTACCAGAGACGGACGTTCAGCGTTGACGATAACTATATAAGTCTTTAACGTGTTTTACAGAAAAACTTCAACTCGAAAACTTAAGCGATGAACACTCCATCCAAAAAAGTCGCTCTCCTTGCCGCCGCATTGGTATTGATCGCGATCGTAGGGTACTCGGCGGCGGACATGGCGGACGTGGGCTTGTGCATCAGGAACTGCGCTCAGTGCAAGAAGATGTTGGGCGCCTACTTCGAGGGGCCGCTGTGCGCAGATGCTTGTGTCAAGTTCAAGGGCAAGATGATACCGGACTGCGAGAACATCGATTCCGTGGCACCGTTCCTCAACAAGCTCGAGTGATCTATAAACTCCACGAATTTGTCAGACCGACTATACGATTATAATATTTTACTTACGAACAAATTATTTTAACAAACACTCTATAACTGCAGGCTAACCTAACCGAGTTTGTATAAATTATAGTTTGATGATTTTATGTACTCGGTCAAAGTTAAAACATAATAATCCATAATATACGATTGTACTATATTGTAATCAAATACGACAATTAATAAAATAAACCGATATTACTATTACGATTATTGTTATAATTATTATTAAAAAATGTGCCATCTGCCTAGTGATTCATTTCTGGTTTTAAAAAGTTAACAAGGACTGGGTATAATATTATTGTGATTTCAAACTAATAAGTAATTAGTAATAACGAAAAGATACGCAAAAAAACGGTGATTAACCTATTAACAAATTTTAGTTATATGTACACTTAAATATAAAACAATTCATCTCAACTATTAGCTTCTATCATAATAATTAGTCAAAGTAAAAAGCAAACAATTGAAAAATGTACTTATGAAGACAAATTTTTATTTTTTCTATGTGGCTGAGAAATTTTAAATGTATTAAATTATACATATTTTTTTACGAGTGAACAAAAAGATCCAACTGCACTTCTCCATCCATAATTTTGTTGAAGGAAATGTAGGTACCAACAAATATTGAAAATACCTTTTGGTCAATTTAAAATAAAAATTTATTTTGATAAAAAAAAAATTTAGCCAAACTTTACAACGATCCTACTATAAAGTATATATAGAAACAATTAACATCGAACATCGAAGATTATGATTATATTATGATTAATAATAAAATAAATTATATAATTTATTGTAATTTTTTAATACCTGTTTAGGTTATACACTATGTTAAAAATCGTAGTGTTAAACTGATACAAAATGGGGTGTATAAAAAATCTATAAGACTATATTATTAAGGTCAAGTCTATGAAAAATATTCGATCAAAAAAAAAAAATGTACGGAAAATCATAGCATAATTATTATTTGTGATCACTATATTAAATCTAAAAAATAAACGGGTTTTTTACAGTTAAGAATAGATGATCACTTGTTCAAGCTAACATTTATTTAAGTAGTGCCCCTTTTTTTAAATGACCCGTGTTAATATTATGGTTCGCTAATTGCCATTATGAGTTAATTTATTGTGTTTAATAATATTCAAACAGCAAATAAGTCATTTTCTTCGTCAAGCGTTTTGTATGACGTGTTCTTCTTCAAATGTATTATTTAGGTAATCTATCATATTGTGTCTTTCTTTTTTTGTCGTTTTCAATAACTCATCCATTCCTTCCAATTGTTCCTATAATAACATTTGAAAAAACAATTTTATTCTTTAACCTAACGTGGTAACTTAACCTAACATAAGCTTATGTAAAAATCAATGTATTACTAATAATAAAAAAGGTGGGAAAGTGGGTACTACTCGTCTGTGAATTAAATGTTTTTTTTAATATCTTATTTTGTTCAAATTTTAAATTTAAAAATAAGTGTGTTTATTTATATGTCTTTTAGAATTTTTGGTTACAGTATGGACTGATCGAGAGAAATATTGTATAAAATGTTCAATCATTAAGTATAAAAGTTAAAATTAAAGTTGACAGTTTTTAAGGAGTTTGAAATATGCAATTTTCAAATTGCTTACGAACGGGCCTTGTAAATGTATGCGTAGTAAGTGATGATTAGTGTGTGTGTGACTGTGTGTAAGAGAAATAAAGGAGCGTTTCCGCACGCCCATGTGTAAGTCATGTACTCGGCGATGCACTAGTGAACGGTAAACAATTTATGCTCATTTGAATGCACTTTTTGTCCATCCTATCGATCGACCTAATAATGCTATAATATTTTAGCAAACTAATAGGTATGCATTTTTTATAATATCTTCTTGAGATCGGCCTGTCCACATTTTAAGGTTTCCTAATTAAATTCCGAATAATCAACTTTTGAAAATTCCAAAATTTCAAAATATCCAAACTAAATATATAGTTGTCGGTTGATGAAATTGGGAAGAGTAGACTGACCGACCACAAGTAGACATGATAAAAATTCAAATCAGTGCTAAAAAGTATTATCGTATTACTAGGTTGATACGTATGATGGACAAAATATTGGTATGTTGTGGCTAAAATAACTGTCAGTCACCGACCCCTTGAGCATTTTATAATTTTTTTAACTACAAAATAATTTGCGAATTTTCAAGATAATGATAGTAAAATCTAAACTTAAAATGCTTAGAAAAAAATCGTATCTATGTATTTTTAATAATTTCAAACTGCTACTATAAAAACTTATGAGGAACCTGAAACACAAAATATTTTGAAAATTGTATAAGAATGCTACTATAAACATCGGATGAAAATTGCATGTATCTTCCATTATTTTTTTAGAGTCATACCATAAATTTAAAAAATCCAAGATTTCCGTTTTTTCCTTAATTTATTTTTTGTTTAACCAAAGGCTTTTGAAAACTTGAAGAATTGTAACATTTTACATTTATTGTACTACTTAGAATCTACAAGAGGCTAAGTATGCTTGATATATTACTCTATATTGTGTAGATTTACTCACAGCTAATAGCAAAAAAAATTCTTTTTGCTTCTCATTTGGAGTTGATAATTGATCATTTTCATACTGCAATTGTTTTATGTCCGAATATAAAATTGAAAACTGCAATATTTATAATAATTTTAATATTTTAGACATTCATAATTGTGAAATTAATAAATAATAGATTAAGATGAAATTCGATTATAAGTCGATACGTCGTACCTATTCGTAATATAATATTATATTATGTATAATATACATTGTATATTGAATAATTTACTATTTGTTACATATTAATAACATAATACCTACATCATACTTTACATTTAGAAGTAGAAATACCTACTCCCTACAGTCATCAAACTTGTGGTGGGAACACTAGTAGAGAGTTTAAACACAATAGTTGATAATTACAATCCAACATAGTTTATAATCAATACTTAACTATTAATAATAGTAATAATAATAATAGGATGCTACACAAATGACCACATAATATATAATATACATTTTTGATTATTAATTATTTAATGATTTATTTAACAATAAATGTATTATTATTATTAGGTTAAGTTAAGTTAAGTTGAGTTGTGTAACAAGGAGATGTTTGAAGGAAATGACCTGCACCTCCCTTTAGCACGTGTTATATTTAAATTATTTTGTAATTACATTTATTCAGTATAATAATATTTTTCATAAATTTAACATATTTTATTGATTAATCGATTGTTTTTATTATATGATTTTGTACACATAACCCTAACTTTATATTAAAATATGTTATTATATTATATTTCGATGACACTCCCTTAATACAATCCTAGATACACCAATGATTAGGTAGTTAATTAAATAATTGTATTCCCCTATTTATACAACAATTTTCTACCATAGCGAGCGGTGTTTGGTATGATTAATTTTTGAGTTTTTAATTTCAAACCATTATTTTCCCATGACGTTTTATATGTGTTATAAATGTTCATAATTATTCTATTGCTAATACCCATAGATCAACAATGTTATCGGTCGAATGTCCTATATATTATATATATAATATATATATACCTAATATATATATATCATTATTTATTTATTTAAGTACGCAATGATCGAATTGCATTAAACTTATATTTTATTGAAAACTTTTTTTACCTGAAAGACTAGAAATAAGTCATGTTTAGAAAAAAAAGGTTGGTATTAGGATTAGTTCAATTTATGCACCTATAAGGCTATAATACATAAACTCACTCGAATTATATTTGAATCAAAAATATGCTAATTATATCGTCCTCAATAATTAATATGGAACATCATATATTGTGTACCTTATCAGTGATGCATTTCATCGATTTTTCATAAGAATCGATGCAAAGTTTTTGGTCATTAGCACGTTCTTCCAGCGTATCTACTTCTTTAATTTTAATATCCGCGTACGCTTTTAACTGATAGATTTCGTTCGCATATTTATTTATCTGTTCAGTAAAATTTCTTTGGTCTTCGGTCACCTGTATAGCATAATGGGCCCTCAAATACTCCGACACTTCCATTATCTCTGTAATCGTTTCTTTATTTTCACACGCGTCTTCGAGCTTCAGCTTCAAACCGTTTACTACCTCTATAAACTGGTCAATATGGCTATGGATGTCCACTATTTTGTCTACGATGGCTTTAAAGCAAGTAGTATTTTCCAGTTCTTTAGTTATGTTCCCATCGCGCATAGTTTCCATTTCGTTTTGAATCCTATCATGAGAATAACATCACAATAAGAACAAATGTTAATTGTATTTATTATGAATATAATATGGATAGATGAGACTATTGACTATTGGGTATACTTTTTCATTTTGGCATTGATCGTTTTTATCTGATCATTGCTTAAGTTGTTCCTGTCGTCGATTATTTGAACTTTATCAGTGATAAATTCGTTTTTTATCTATAGTACATATAGGTATGAATTAACAAATGTTTTTAACTCATTACGGGCGCGTATATACACTATACACTTCACACTTGTCACCTAACGACTAAACCACTCTTACGTTTAATCCATCGAACTCCATTTCAATTGCTTCTAATTTTGTATTCTTCTCGTGGTTCGATAATAGTTCACCACCGCCTTCAATATTAGATTGCGCTACATTTTGCCTCTAATAAATGAAAATTATAATATCTAGTACGAGTTTTTTACACATAATATACCTAACTTAACTTATTTTTCAGGTACCCACTTTAACTATTATTGATTACAATTTGACTGGCAGTGACCCTTTCTATAAAGACATAGTATGTACCATATAGTCTTAACATTCACTATTTATATTTCTTGTACAATATTTGACTAATCTAAATTTAAATGAATGTATGGAACTGTGTTTTTACCTGAACGGACTTAAAATTCTCTGAAGCATCACTAATATTTGATATTTTTCCATCACTGAAACACTCCAACACTATAAGAAGTAATTTAATGTATAGTATACATATTGCACACGAATTAGGTTTAGATATAATGGTACATAATATGAATATTATTTTTTAATACTCGTCCATCTAAATCACTTTAGTCTTTAATACCAAATTTTATTTTAATATTTCACCAACATTTACTTTGGGGTTTTTCGATACACTCGTTTGCATTTTCATGGTTTTCGGTGTATTTTTGAACGGTTTTATAGACATTTGTTACATCTACATCGAAATTATATTTTTCTTGTGTGTCATTCATTTTTTTATCAGTAATGTTAGTAATCTGGTAGAAAAAATATTCATTAAATTACAAGTAGGTACAATAATTTCAAATACTTCTAAATTCTTATTATAATAGTTAATAAACTTAGAAATAAACAATATTTTCTTTATTATGTAAATTATTTTAATTTTCATAACATTATTGTATATATGCACTGACAATGTCATACGCACTAAGAATCAAAATTTACTAACTAATAAATTATTAGTAATAATTAATTTATCACCATTGGCAGACGTGTATATAGAGTTATAAATGCAACAGAAGTTCTATATCATTGGGAAATTCGTCAATTGATTTAAAAAAAAATTATTTCCTAAATAAGTTTTGTTCTCATTAAATTACAATAATACTTTTTGATATGCACGAAATAAAAACGTTTACAACATTAATGCCGCTATACGACAATATTATTGTATTAATTTGATTTATCGTTGCCATAGATTTTATGGCATTATAGAACCATACGTATGTATATTCCATAACAATTATCAACTATTTCAGGGGTGGCCACTGATAAGAGAGTCGAGAGCACGAAATGTAATGAAAAATACGTAAGAGCCAAGAGCGGGAGAAAAATGTTCTCAACAATCGTAAATAAGATAAGATATCAAATGTAATTAAATATTTCATTTATAAAATGTGAAACAATATAATAACGTATACAACAACTCTTTAATAATTTTTTCAAATTTACTACATTTCATATGAATCAAATGGAAAAATGAATTTCTCTTAAGATGTGTAGATTTGTCAGATATCAATGTAATTTAACACATCAATGTTATGAATAATAGATGAAGAGTCAGAAAAAATTTCATGGGAATGCCAAATTTATGAAATAAACAATGATCATTAAATCTGGGCACCGCACACTGTTATTTTTTAGAACTCTTTGTTAACTTATTTTAAATAAATACCAAAATTTGCAATATCTCATCCAAATGTACGTCTATATTATACTAGCTGTTCTACGAGGTGTCGCACGTACTCAAGATTTGTTTTTTTTATAAATATATTTGTAAGAAAAGTGTATGGCATAAATCTACTAAATAATATAATGTTAATTATAAATTATAATAAGTAACAAATAGCAGGAATCAACTATTATCTTAAACAATCAGTTAGTTATCGAAACGGGTCAAAAAAATTATATTTTCGTATAACATCGCATCGTTAGTATACAATTTAAATTATTGATTGGTTTCTGAAACTTTAACATATCAACATAAACAATTATCACATTTTTATTGACAAAAAAAAATATAATAACATGTACAATATGATATATTTCTATAATCTATATATTAAAGAATAATATAAAAAAATGTCAAAACTATTGACAAAATAAAAATATAAAATTATCTAGGTTGGATCTATTTAATTATAATGAATAATAATAATAATAATAATTATGAAAATGAAAATAATAAATATTGTTTATCAATTATTCTAAGATACACGAACAGTTTAAAAGTAATTTGTGTTTTAGGGTGAATCTTGATAAAAAATGCTGTTGCTATATATTATAGGCTTTAACAACTTATATCACATAGCTATATTTTTATGTTATCACACTTCAATTTTAATTACTCCTACACTTCTGTATAGCTATTTAATAAAACCGCTGCAAATAAAGTTGTCGGTAATGGACGCATCTAACGCACCAGAATAATTAAATCGTCCCAGTTTTGACGATATACTAATGTATAAATGATACTCTATCAGACAAACATAATAATATATCGAATTATCTAAAAGCTAGTGCGCGGCAGGCAGCGGACATTTTCAAAACGAGAAACTCAATTAAGTTATACACATCGTGAGTATAAAATGACCGGTACCAGTGCCAAATCCGTCAGTGTCATACGTTCAGACTTACGAGGATCTACGACTAGCGCAAAAGATTTTTTACGACATCTCAAAGGTAAGTCGGGCTACGGTTTTTCCCGGAGCAAGAATTATTAGTCATTGACGGTATCTATAGATTGTTCTTTTTTTCAAAGGAAAATTCAAAGATGAACACTCCATCCAAGAAAATCGCTCTCCTGGCCGCCGCATTGGTATTGATCGCAATCGTAGGTTACACGGCGGCGGATATGGCGGATGTGGCCATGTGCATCAGGAACTGCGCTCAGTGCAAGAAGATGTTGGGTGACTACTTCGAGGGGCCCCTGTGCGCAGATGCTTGTGTCAAGTTCAAGGGCAAGATGATACCGGACTGCGAGAACGTCGATTCCATTGCACCGTTCCTCAACAAGCTCGAGTGATCTACTCCACGATTCCCGGATCCGAGTATAGTAGTTACACAATGAACATTTATGCTTATTATTGATAGTAAAATATGATTAATTTGTAATATGTACTCAGTTTTTGCTTATTGAAACATCCGAGAAATAAAATCATTCGTTCTGAGTAAAATAAAAATTGTGTTGATTATTATAGCTACGGTACAAAATATAAGGCACAAGGTTAGTTGTAAGTGAACGACTTCATCCATAAAAAAATATGGGTCCAATCCTCTAATTAAAAAATGTTCGTTCAATGATATGTGAGTACATTACACTTTGTTTTGGCGTAGGTGTTTAGATAATTAATTTCCAGTAACTACTAGAGTTGCTCAAAAACAAATAGTCGTAAAATGCTAAAATACTGTGGGTTAGCTCTCAACTAATGCTGGTGGTAGATTGGTAAAGATGTAGTGATAGTAATGGTGCTGGTGGTTTTTGGTGTTTGAAGATGGTGATGATCGATGTGGTGGTTCCTAAATGTCCTGCACATACGACATCCTCCAATAGGCTTTCGACTTCGGTGGCTTGCCGTCGACGTCGAATTCGTGTATCCTGGACTGGACCGAGGTCGAGGATGGTTCGTGAGCGTAATCGGTGGAGCGATAGAAGTACGGTGACTTCGGTACCGACCTCGAGGGCCCGTGACCGTGGTAAGTATTTTCTTCGTCATCGTGGTCCGAGGATGAGTAACCACGGTAATCACGTGACGGACCCTCGACCACGTCGTACGCGCCACGCCCATGATCGATGTTAATTACGTCTCCGTGATCGGACTCGTCCGAGTTGCTGCGAGTCATCGATACGAACGACTTGGATCCACCGCTGCCACCCGATAATGGGCGACCGGAGTACGGCGATGGTACGTCACGATAGTCATCAAATTCGCCGTCAGACTGCAGACCGCTACCCACGCCATACGAATATCCCGCTGACGAACTACCTCCGCCGACACCTCCAATTCCTCCACCACGTATCGGCACAAAGTCATGACCGTGCAGCAGAGGTGATGCACCGCTACTGCCACCGCTACCGTAGCTGTTAAAAGTTGGTGGCCGTGGATATGATGGCGCCTTGGACGCACCGTACTTGCTGGACTTGACGGGCTTATTAGAGTCCAAGTAGTTTGGCAAAGTTAGTGGCCTGCGGCAAACGAAAGTAAATAACATGAATTCATGTAACAATAAAATTACATATTTTTAGTTTATACGCGCATCGTACTTATTACCGTCTATGTTCGTGTTACAGTTTATATTTATATGGTCAGGATAAACTATTTTAATAAAATTGATTAATGCAAACATAGATGTCTATAATGTTGTTAATTTTTTTTCAAGAACTTGTAGAAAATGAGATTTTAAAATAAAATATATGACATAACCTATCTGCACTAAAACTCAAATTGATTGGGAAAAAATTAATTGAATTTATTGACTATTTTGAAAATATTATCTTAATCTTGAAATATCGAAAAATGAGATCAACTTTCAATAACTTTGCTAACGTAACACGTACCTGTGGTTGCCCTCGTCGTCAAACTCCATGGGCACGTACTCGTAGTGCGAATTGTGGTCACTGTCGTCAAAGTCATCGCCGTCGTCTTCTAAATGTTCGTTTGGACGACGGCTGCTGTAACCGCGGTAGTTGTTCACCGGCCTGGTTCTAGGAGCTTCAAACCCTTGACCGTTGGCCGCCTGAAACTCCTCGTCTACATCGTAGTCGACACGTTGCTCCATGATCGCTTGCGTCATGTCCGGTAGTCCGTCAGTTGCATCCCGTTTGATCGGCGCTGCCTTGGGTACGTCCAGCCCGGTTAGCACCATCTCGTCCGACAGCGACGGGTCATCGCCAATGTCCACCGTTCCGTTGCCGGCCAGAGAAGCAGCTTCAACGCCCCGTTTCAGCCTCTTGTCGCTACCACCGAATATGGCATTTGAGTTCATCACCGTGTTGCCATCCAACTCGTCCGTAGCTTCGATGATCGTGATCACTCGAGTCCCAGGATCCGCAAATCCGATCCCGGTGTCCGCAGCCGTTGTGTTGCAGTTGTCGCAGAACTGTATCTTTGCTTCTGTCATACCGGATTTGAGATTTTTTTCTACGTTCGACTGTAAGACACCAGAAAAATTAAATTAGAAGTATAGGTATATGATAAATCATACGATTTAAGCAGGCCCCCACATTAAATTTTGGACCCCTGTACTAAATATTTTGCGGGCCCTATACAAAACTACAAAACCCTATATAAAACTTCCAATAAAATACAACCCATTACAAGCGATGCAGGTGACTTATATACGATTTCTAGGTTATTAATAGTTAAAACAACAAAATGACATTTGTATCATAAAATATTATTTAATATAAAATAAGTATTCCCATACAAATTTAGATTAATTTCAACGGTCCCCTAAAATAGAGCAACTGTACTCCAGTGTCCAGGTCCAACAGTCAGCCTTTCTGAGGGCCTTGTGTATAAGTATATAGGATTTGGAATTTGGATGTCAGTACTCTGTACATTTCTAGAAAAAGGCGCTAAACATTAAAAAATACGTAAGTTTAATGATTTAAACACAATTATTATTTGGTGTAGGTACTAACTTTTAGATTAAATAGATTGAAATAATCAAAAATACACAAATTACATTCATAAAAATAAATATAAAAATGTTTTAAGATTATACAACGCTTACTTTTAATTATCTTATAGGTATCTGTATCATAGCGATAAAACGTACCAATGTTGAATCTTGTTTGAATCATCATACTCATTATCATGTGGATATAAACTGTTCTCTCCCTCATTTAAACTAATCCAAAGTATGTCAATTATATGTATTAATTAATTTCAAATCAGTTTTTAGAATTTACAAATCAAAATTATTTAAATTTTGGTAAATTATTTTCCAATTTTAGCCACGGAAATAAATATTTTATTTTGTTCTTGATTTTCAAATTCTATAGAAATTATTTTATAATTATCTAAATTATCTACTTTCATGTGATTTTACTAAGGGGAAGAGGTGACTGACTTCATGACACCCGCTACCATGAAAAGTATAAGGTACTAAAAAATTAGCAAAATTAAATTTTGTGTAATCATTATACATATAAATATTATTATGAATTGAATTCATATAGCTTTTGAGGTTTCATATGAAATTACGATGACGTCTATACCTTGGCTATACGTCACCATATCATAACGTATAATAAGTCAATGTTATAAAATAAATATACTAACGAGTCTGGTGTTAGGTTCAGCCGTATCCAGTGACGAGTCGGCCCACTTGCTCAAATCCATCCTAGGTATGACGCCACTCCTACACGGGACCCTAGGATTCCTAAGACATTAGACGTCGATTAGATGGATCTATAATAATTACTATTGATCGGATTCGACGCTTTTCATCAATGAAAAATTTTATACGTACAGTTCGTGATCCGACAACACCATCGGATACATTTGAACCGTGTCTATGATGTCCGTATTGTCGCACACCAAACGTGCCAACCGGACGTTTCTGATTTCTTGCAACTGATCTATAATGATAAATGCCAGCGATGTTATGGTCACTGAAAAATACTAGGCACACACAACATATAGGTATCTGTGTCAGCTATATTTACCCGATGTGAACGAGGACGGTTGGTCGGGCAATTCGTACCAAAACCGATCGCCCCTCTTTAAAAGACTGAATTGAGAAGCAATTATGCAACCAAACGTCGGTCCAACTACACTTCCTTGCGCGGGTTTTTCCGACACCCCACCAGACCACAAGTCGATGTCAAACGGTGATCTTATAATACATAATGATAATGAAATATTAAAAAATTGAATTTTAAATTTAAAATAATCATGTACGTGCACATACATTACGATGTTACACATTATGGCTGTACTTTAGTATGCGAACTATCAAAATGTTTTCTTAACCAATACCCATGTACAAGTTACTACAGTATTTTTAACCTCGAACAAATTATCATGTGTTTAGAAATAAAAAATTTAAATTTAAAATTGTTTGATTGATGCACAACTTTGTTGTGATTTTAAAAAGGTAAAAAAGTCAAATATAGTGCGAAATTGTGTTAAACCCATGGCAAAACTCATAAAAATATTGTATACTAAATATTGAACTATTTTCTTATGGATCACCTACTATAAAATATAATTATTATTATTATGTTTAATTTCGACTAACGAGTATATCGTCTGGTAACGTTGTATGGTTGAATTAGGCATGAATCCTGCCATTTCTTCGAATCTGTTGGCCACGGTCAACCCACAGTGCCGTCTGTACTCCATGTAACCAGGCAACCCGAAGTCTCTGCCTCTCTGTATGTTGAACGACACCAGGTCGAAACCGAACCCTTTGCCCGGTTTTTTTATCAAATTATTAGTTACTTCTTGCGTTATTGAATCGTCCATAGCCTGTGCGACTTGGTTCATGAGGCCCATCAAATATTCGTCTATGGCGCCTGCTCTGTACAAATCGAACGGCCGACGAATCAAGTCAGACAATTTCTTGGAAGCTGAAGCAGTATAAACATATCGAGTCAAACGATGTAAAGACTTAAAAATATCGTGGTTCATACCGATAAAACCGTGAGCTTTGCTCCAGCGTTCAATAACATTAGGCAGCAGAGAATGGCCGAAACGAAATGCCGCCGCCGAAAACGAAGCCAATATATTTGGGTTTGCGTTTGAATCGTATCCGTTCCAATGTCCCTAAAATTCAAAATGTTCCATAAACGATATTATAGCAATACGATTAATTATTATTGTAATGATTTCAAGACGAATAATAATCACTTTTTTTCTGTTCGTCAAGCTATGTTTATCCATCATGTCTTTGCCTAAAAGTATGGGCAGAAATTCGTTGTACGTTATGTGTTGTATTTCAGCCACGGCAATTCTTTTGGCTTCCTAAAAACCACAGCTATGTTAGAAACTATCCATCATATACACCACCTGTCATACCG